GGGGCCGCACGGCGCGGCCGCGGGCGGCGCGGCGCCCGGGCGGGCTGTTAGGCCGCGCCTTGCCGTGGGGCGGCCTGTTAGGCCGCGCCTTGCCGTGGGGCGGCCTCACCCGCGCTCCGCGGCCGCGTGAAATTGAGACTCGGCTGTGAGTGAGGTGCCCCATCTCCGTGATGGGTAATGAGTCACTGCGCGTTCAACCATGTCCACGGAAGCTGTCAAAGCAATACTGATACCCTTAATAATATCTCCTATTTCTAGATCTTCAGGAGCCAAAGTCATTGGACACTGTGAAAAATAAAAGTCAATCTTGAAGAAAAGCAGCCCTCTCAAGGGGAAAAGATAATTGACCGATAAGATTAAGTCCAAATCTCACTTTATTAGTCTCTGTATATTTTCATCAAGACGTTTGCAGTGTGCTTTCATGCATACGTGTTTACCCATGTAATATATTCCTATGCATTCACACACACAGATGACATATATTGTCATCAAAATGCGACAGCCTCTGATGGGATCCAGGAGGTGACAAGTATGAAGCAAAGATGAATTGCTTCCAGGAAGYGCAGGAGTGAATACAGCTCCGGAAGAGAGACATCTTCCCCATCTCCACAGGATGGGCAGGAACTCAGCCTTTTTCTTTTTAAGGCCTAGYAAATGGCTGTATGACATTTTGTGTATTTTCTCAACATTATAATAATGTTCCCTGGTTATTTCTGGTGGTGGTTGCATTCTTTCCATGTACCTTGCATATACTGAGTCTCTGTCTCCTTCTGCATTCTTCCTTCTGCCTTCCTTCTAGGATATCTTGTTTTTTTTCTTTTTTTCTTTTTTTTCTGATCTTTCTGACCTTTCTCATTTTGCCATTCTAAAACACCAGAATAGCATTATGCAGTGCAGTGGACAAGATCCTGCCTTTTGCCTGCCGCTTGACTCGGGCTGTGCTCTGTGGAGCAGCAGAGTGCTCCCAAGGAGGCAGAGCTGTGACACCTCCTTGTGCTGCTCTCGCAGCTGGCTGTGCCACAAGCTGCCCGGAGAAAAGGCTGGCACGCAGACAGCTTGGAAAGAGCTTGCAGCTGCTTGTTCATCTCCCCAGCCTCAGGACAGYCATAAAGTGCTTCTGCGGTGGGAGTGTGTATTTGGAAGCTTGCTTCCAGGCTGCTCCTTTTCTCTCCTCGCTTGGCACCATCTCCCACGCAATCATTTTCCTCAGTCATTTGCAGGAGGAACAGTCTGCCTGGACTTGTAGCCAGTATCACTCCCATCCCTGGAGTTGGAGCAGTGGGCAGAGCAACAGCACGCCTTCAGATTGCCCATATGGGGCTGAGGGATGCAGCTAGGAGGAGCACATTGAGCTTCTGAAGTGCTACAGACACCTGGAATAGGATTAGCTCGCTAGGCTGCCTTCAGGCTATGACGGATGAGGGCTTTCAATTTAGCCATATAACACAACGCTGTTTCATGCTGACTTTATTAGTCTGGTTGCTAGTTAATAGACCAAATAATGCCATTAACACAATGCCAACAAAGATTTGTACTTTTAACATCAACTCATTCTCATAAAGAATATCATCTCATATAGATGCTCTATAATTTTCTGAGTTAATGACTGTGCTGGTGAGAGGTTCGAGTGGCATGCAACCAAATGACATACAGCCCTTAGAGTGAGCAAGAGCAGCCTTGTCTCTTTTATTCACAGTGATAATCTAGCTTGTTAAAGATGTGAGGAAGATGTTTGATACTTTTGGAAAATTGGAGTTCCATGCAGGGTTGTTTTCTGTGACAACTCTTGCGACCAACAGAATTTCTTTATTCTCTGAGYGTGAGCCAGTGAATAATTCTCTTAAGTAATATCACATTGAAACTCCCTGCAGCAGCAGCTCATATCCTAAGGTCACCACACGTGTTCTGGTCAAGGGGAGGTGGGCAACATTGCTGAAAAGTGCCTCATTTTATTCCTATGCACAGATAATGGCATGTATCTTCCACTGGGTAAAAATTGTTGCCATAGTAATGCTTCCAGCACTCCTTTGGATCAATAGAGCAGAGGGTTTTTCAGGTATTTTTGTTTGCAAGCCCATAGTCACACCCCAAGTATACTTCTATTTCCTTCCTGTAAAATTTCCTTCCTGTAAAATAAGTTAATTCAGAGATCTTTCAGGATTTTGCAATTCTGTGAAGAAAGCTACTTTTCCATGGTGTACAGGGGCAGAATCAGAGTGTGAATGGGCAAGTGTCAAGAGAGAAGAGTTGCATTTACTTAATTAAAGCCTTGAGCAGGGCTTCTGGAGCCCTGTCAACACCTCATCAAAGGTGMGAACAAACTGAAGCTGCAGAACAGGTTGTGTTTTCGCTGAGGGTCTGGTTCTAGTTCCACTCACAGACCAGTGGGATTCTCAGTTGACTTAAAGTTTGTTCCTGGGTTCCAGGACATTTTCTATAGGCAGCTGATGTACTACCCTAGCTGAAGTTCAAGCTGATTGCTGATTCTAGGAGGGGAGCCTCCCATAAATAGTGAATGAATCCACAGAAGTCTGGATTCAGAAACTACCTGTCAACTTGAGCAGCTACCTTGGACATGTAGATTCTCATACCTGCCCACACATGCCAAAAATACGTCTGTGTTGAACAGAGGCTGTAGGCCCCTACTTTTCTGTTACTCAAGCTTGCTTGCTGCCTACCATTTTACCTTTAATTACAGCCAGATGTCATCAGTTGTGACAGTGCGGACGAGGCGAGCTCCCAAGACACGCTTACAGCTAGTCTGCTCAAGCCGTAGCTGAGTCACAGGCTGATTTCTTGCCCCCACCATCTTGCCGGTGGGGTATCATAGGACAGAAACTCAAAACACCTCTGGGAGTGCCACCAGTTTGTCTCATGTAATACCTCTGTAGTTGGGACACTTGCACAAAGGGCATGAAACTTCAGTCCAGTGTCCTTCTCTGCCAGATGTGACTTGAACAGATCTTTACCATCTTGGAGAATGTTTGAAGCACCAGGGAACGTGGCTTTCTAGAGGGGCAGGGGCCAGAGGCRAAGTTCTCATTCCCTTTTGTTCCTTCTCGTCCCCTCTTCTCCTTAGCATTAAATAACTTTTAAGAAAGCATTTGGCTTGGGAGAAGCACGAAGCTAAATGTGCTGGTGTAGACCTAGCAGTTAGGGCACATCTCAGCATTTGCAGTGAGCTTGTTTGGATGTCTGATGGGAAAGGTCTCATGGCCAGTAAAGTGTTTGCCTGTGGCCATGCTGTTGAGGAGTTTACGGGTGAGCAGGGCAATTTCATGGCAGTTGACCTCAGCGTTGCAGGCTGGCCTCAGGCACGTTTAGACAGGCGCTGGATGAAGGTGAAGCATTGCAGTGTCTAAACGCTTTTGTGAATTCAGCAGTGAGACCTTACGCCAGGATTTTCTCAGGTGGAAAGTGTTATGATTGCCATATTGATATGCAAACACTTAAGGCGGTGTGTTTGTTGGCAGCATATTTTGCATGTGTTTAGGAAAAGAATCTCAAGCTCTGCTTAGATTTGTCCCTAGAATATCAATACTCCAGTGGTTTACATCCAAGTCCTACCCTACACAAGCATTCTCCTATGCGTAACTTCCTTCACAAAGATCAGGATTTACCTACAGATGCTGCACAAAGCTCCTTCAGGTATTGCAGTTATTCACTTCTAATTGGAACAGCAACACGCCATCTTCTGAAACTGCACAGTACATTTTTTAAATAGTGACTAATATTTCATCGTCTGCTGGAAACATCTCCATCTYGCAAACACAAGTGGCTTCTGCGGGAACAGCGGTAATCAGCACCATAGACAGAACCCTGCACGGTTCATTATAGCTGCTCCACAATTACGAGGCTGGTGCCTGCACGTGTACATCACAGCTGACCAGAGAAAACTGGGTGCCACGTCTTCTTTTCCCCTTCCTGACATTTATCAGGAGATCTGGTGCTCCACACCTGCTTATTCTCCCCACTCTTGCTTCCATCCTCACTGGGGTAGATTTATCTTCTGCAGCTCCTTCTTTCTTGTTGGCAGCACAGCTCCGTTGCCTACATCTGAACATCTGGCCCTGCCAGAAATGGAGACAAAGCGAGGAAGGMGCAGGGGAGGAGAGATACATTCCTGGGGGTTGCCTTGAGGTAGAGTCAGGACACAGCTAAGCTGCTGGACCCTGAGAAGTACTCTCAAGCCCTGCAGCTTATC